TCAGAAAAATCTCGCAAATATATGAGAGTCTTTATAAAACCAAATATCAAAATGCTGAGGTCCAGGTTCTTTTCAACGGAAGGCACTAAAATAGGAATAGTGTTATGTTTACAATTATGTTACAAAAGTTATCATAAAAGCACCAACACCTAAGCGAAATGTTAATAAAAAAAAGCACAGAAGGACTTTAAATTACGGCACATATTGATAAAAAAAAGCTAATAGCATAAAAGTAAAGGTGAAAACTCATGAATATGAGGAGACGAACACAATCAAAGTGCTAATTGCATAGTCGCCAGTAGTGAGGATGGCGTCAGACCGAATTTTATCACTAACACAACTAGTGTTTAACTTTCTAATTTACTATTATCATTCCTTGTTAAAAATTACAAATTTTCTTTTAACACTAACTTGTTAATTTATTTCTACCACTAATATTTCGTTTAACACTAACGTTACAATATGGCGCTGTTGATCGAATTTAAACTTGTGTTTACATTACAATATTCGAACAAAGGAAGTGCAAAAATACGTTTAAATTTTGTTCGGTACCTAAATAGTTGTCACTGCCGAGGGTCGTGAAGACCATATTTGATAAATATTTTCTGCTATAGCATTGCGTACGATATAGTTTACCTTGGACATGAGAGGGAAAAGTGAACCCTATATCCATAATGTGTTCTTTTGAGCAACGTCCAAAAAAAATACTAGGGGTGGTCCAGTCCCCAATCATGGAAGAAAATAGTTGGTCTTATACCCCCGGCTCTCTTGGTTATACTGCCATTATATGCCCCTGTCACACAATACTTGTTATTTAAGGGAGATGGGCAAGTTGTTTCAACGAACAGCAACACAATGTTAGCAGATTATCGAAATAGTTCTTCAAAATAGTCAATTTGTTTACGTAATGGAATAATTAGACTAGGCACCGAAGTCGCAATGGCAGATTGCATGGCGATAAAAAATCAAAGATACAATTGCTGACCAATTTTGTCCTTGATTACATTTAGACATTCTTAATGCGGATGACGTATTTTTTCAAAAAAAATATTGCCCGACATATCCGACCTAATTGTTCGGCGACAAAAATTAAAGACATGATTGTCTGTTATAGGAAATTTTGTATTGGATAAAGCCTAAATCGCCAATTTTATGCCAAAACCCGTCTGAATTTCAAATTAATGTAATCGGCTTCATGTAAAATTATTGTAGATTGACCTCGGCGACTGCAAATTTAGTTTTCATTACAAATTCTCTTGATTTGATCAGCCATTGGCGTATGACGTCTCACAGATAAAATTTCCAGACGACGAATCGTTCAAATATTCAGACCATAAGCTACTTAAAATCAACAAAAACAAAATGGCGCAGATTTGAAATCAATGAGGTACGAAACGAGGAGAAGATAATCGTTAAAGGATTAACAGCCGATAATCAATTTGCTAAATCAGTACGTTTAACCACGTGAAGGACTGGCGCCGAGATATCAACTGTTTAATTTAACCCTCACCACGTCACTCTGATTGTTTGGTAGTAGCGTCACGGTAGGGTTAAATTATCACGAGCCAGTTTCTTAAATTAAAAGTCCTTTTTGTGAAATCGAAGAGCCCCTGTTAAGGACTTTTTATTTGATCTTACGAAGAAAAATTTGTAACGAAAAATATTTCCACTACGCTTTATTTTGACAAAGGAAAATATGTCACCAAATCCATGATCAGACGGAGGATTTAAAACTCCAATTCATTTTTCTAAAAAAGGGAAATATTTGAAAATATCAAATAAAGAATAAATACCCCATATATTACGGCCCTGTACAAATGCAAAATGTTACAACCCAGTGTTTCGTCTAGCAATCAAGGTGCTTACAGAAACTCGCGAATAATTTCTATTATAATCTAATCATATATGTGCTAAAAATAGCCTCATGCCAGAGGAAAACAAACTATGATCAATATGGCCATCGGATATCGTGAGAGAATATGAACATTTTCAAAACTCGGTTTATAATTTGTACGTTTGTATTTCACAATTTGTGTCTTGGTGAATACAGATTTTGCAAAATTGTGCTAACACTTTTCACGAATTTGCTAATTTGTATTAACAAACACAGACTGAAGGCGTGCGATCATAGTCTATTACCATTTTGGTGTAGTTTTTGTAAATAGTCTTATCCAAATAGAAAAATGTTTTGGTCGGACTATGTTCATGGTTTGATAGAGTGTACAAATTTAAAACTTACTTGATTTGTAGATGATATTGAAATTCATGATATACAAAAAACTTGGAAATTAAGATTCATAATCATTCAATATTTGCAAACATAAATGTAATGTGAAAAAATATTGAACATAGCCAGTACTTTACAAAATATTGTACAGAGCTAAAACTTCAGGTATGGAGATCATTATAGCCTAATACAGCAGTGAAAAAGAATACACACAATACACATGGGAAATTTTATATGCTGTATCAAAAATACGTCTCGGCAGAATGAGACCACGAATGTTAAATTAAAATCTATTCCATTATATCATCTTTTTAAAATGTAATAAATGATGAAAAATAATAAAATAAATTTTGATTTATTTGAAATTTTGGACTAATTTCACGTGACGGTACTTTTGACCTTTGGTGAAAATCTGCACGAGACTGTATGTTAGAAATATGACACCAAAATAAAGAGTTATACTTAACTAAGCTTATTATTGAAAAATATATTAATTTTCATAGAAAAAGAGAGAAAAATATTAGCTCTATAAGTTTCTCTTGTCAGTTTTCAGTATATTATATTGATTAATTATTAGAGAAAATTTATGGGAAAATGAAAACTAATATTTACAGGAAAATAAGTTATCGTAAATTTTCATTTTGGTAAAATTTAAATTAGATTTCAGATCGCAATGCAATAAACCTCTATTCATCAAAAATTAGAATTAGAGTTTAAAAAAAAAAACACTTGACTATCATCTATTTCAAAATATACCAGAATATTTGACTGTCATCTATATCAAATTATTTTACAGTATTTGGCTGCCATCTATTTCAAATTATTTTACAGTATTTAGCTGTCATCTATTTCAAATTATTCTAGAGTATTTGACTGTCATCTAGTTTAAATTATTCTAGAGTATTTGACTGTCATCTATTTCAAATTATTTTACAGTATTTGACTGTCATCTATATCAAATTATTTTACAGTATTTGGCTGCCATCTATTTCAAATTATTTTACAGTATTTAGCTGTTTTCTTTACAAATTATTCTAGAGTATTCGAATGTCATCTAGTTTAAATTAATCTAGAGTATTTGACTGTCATCTATTTCAAATTATTTTACAGTATTTGACTGTCATCTATTTCAAATTATTTAACAGTATTTAGCTGTCATCTATTTCAAATTATTCTAGAGTATTTGACTGTCATCTATTTCAAATTATTTTACAATATTTGACTGTCATCTAGTTTAAATTATTCTAGACCAAAAAGAATGGATAGATACTAAAATGTTTATAATTTGCTGAAAATAACTTAAATTATTAAATCAGATATTACAAAATATTAAGATGAAATTTAGATAGATATATCACATTATTCGTTCAGAATACAAAAAATCATGCGACTTTTTCAAAGTGAAATTAGTTCACCCTATAATCAATTTTCCAATCATTAAATGGCACATTTTTATTTATTCCAGAAATCAGTGGAGAAGCATGGATATTGAGACTGATTGCTGGCGTATTGTCAGGCAATCTACAGACTTTGGCACCATCCAGATGACGACAATTCACTTTAACCTCTGATAGAATACCTTACTACTATTCACTGCTTGTTTATTTTACACCAATTACCCCTGAATGTAAACAAAAGGATGCTAGATTGACTTTCAATACACTTGTCAATCAAACTCGAGTGGGCGGGATATACGGCCTTAATCACTTCTATCCCTATTTGTCGCCTCGATGATTGGCATTTATGTGGTTAATATTTTTTGTTCGAAATTTTCTTTGTTATTTTTCTAATATGTTGAAAAATTATACGAAAAATATGAAAATAAAATTTCAGTTTAGGAGTTGAAAATTTAAGTAAATCTCTCGGTTAACCCTTTTATCTCCTACAATATAGAGCACTTTATATTTTAGTCAGGGCCGATTGTCGAGGTTAAAATAATTTTCATCTTGGAAGTTTGTCATTTACATAAGGCAAAACTATTTAGTTGCCAAACTGCAGACGAAAAATTTGAACTCGAGTCAATTTTTTTACTTGATTAATCCCATTTTTATATTATGTCGATTTGGTTTGCAAAGTCAACGATTCAAATTCGAAGTAGTTTTAGACAAGGGGCTTTAAATTAATCCTAGCTGAAAATTTATAAAGTAAAAACGAATCCGCGATTTATTGACAAACTTTAAAAAGTGGTATTTGTTTATAAGTAATAGATTAATTGTATTCTTTTTAACTGGCGACTAAATTTCAATGACTGCCAGCTTCATATGTTGACATATCGTGAACGCCGATAAAAGGATCGCAAGTAGGAGACAGTAAGTCTAGCGCTTGACGAGCTCGTGATAGCAGGCCACGCCCTGATGAGATATGATTGGTCGAGAAGTAGACGAGAGCCAATCACCGAGTTGGCAGAACAATGATTGATGTATTGTAGTATTATGAGGTGAGATAAGCAGTGTCGCGGCACGAGACGGCTCGACTAGGGTATATAGCTACGTTTTATCGCTAATATCGGCAGTTCATATCCAACTTCGGTTCATGATACTTCGCTAGTGATTCAACATTTTATTATATACATTATTTATTTACTGTTTACTGTTTCAAAATGGCTTTTAACCCCTTTGTGATGCAAAGATCATCGGACTACAATATGGGATCGTTATTATCGCAACAGTTTTATCCATCGATGGGATTTCCGAATTCTGGACTTAATACACAACTGTTACACAAGTTACAACAACAACAGATGGGCAGGTTACCCCTAACCCCCACGGATTTAATGCCTTACCCAGCACCATTCAGGCCCTTTGGGGTACCTGAAACCAATGACCCAGATGTGCAAGATGATCCTAAAATTGAATTGGAAAACGACGATTTATGGAAAACCTTTCATAAGATCGGAACCGAGATGGTCATCACCAAGACTGGCAGGTAGGCAAACTTTAAATTTTTGCTTAATTTACAGGAAATATGACGTGATTAATAACAACATTTTTTACAGTGTGTCTATTCAACCATTAAACATTATGACTTATAAATAATCTTGTAAAATGTCAATGTGTTATTGTATAATTGCAATCAAAGCAAAATTGTTATTGTTTATGAAGACATTATACAAAAGTGTATGTGGACAATATTCACAATTGATTTTTGCTAAATGCAAAATGATTAATATAATTCATCATGTGTATAGGCCTATTATACAAAAATGAAAAAGTTGACAATGTATTCCAATGATATACAAATTTCATAATCATGTTTATATACAAAAATTAATTGTAAATTTGGAAATTCCGACAATACAATGAGAACTTTTATTTATCTTAAGTTATGGTGGTGATTTGTGAATTCTCAAAAATATTTCAAAATTTTGTAGTCTTGTATAGATTGTTTATAACATAAAGATTTATGATTATTGATTACTGATTATAATTCTGGTTATATACAGAAATATATACTTATTGTATATTTTTAAAATATTTTTTGCATAATCTTCCTCAAGTTTATATTATTAGTATAAGTTATTTATTTATAAACGTTATATTATTAATGTTTTTCTTAAATCATAAATCATTTGTAAGTGGGTATGATAAGAAGCCAGTTTTTATCAAATTTATATTATTATATCTAAATTATTAAGATAAAATTCATATTCAGATATCGCAAAAATATCATCATTTTGACGACTTTTTAAGATAAATTTCTACAACTGTTTAGTGGCAAATAAAAGATTTTTAACAGTTTTGGCATCAAACGCTTATCTTAAAAAGATACAATATTTTAGAAATTTAAAAATTGCTCAAGTGTTTGTCAATTTTAAGGTTATCAAATACAAAAATTTATAAAAATGAATTCTTCGACTTGGAACATTTTTAAGACTAATATTTTTGTCATATCGCCGTCCAAGTGGCGGCAAAAAATCTTTAGACTTAAAAACGTCTTCATAAATCTTACGATAAAAATCAAACAATTTTATTTATTTTTAACATGGCGACAAAGGGATTCCAGAAAGTGGTTCTCTGTACAAATTTTGACACTTTCGTATCGGAATATTTGTTATTATGTTGAAAAATTATTTATGATTTTTTCTTGTATTTTTCAGACGAATTTTCCCAGCTTACAAAGCCAAAATTTCAGGATTAGATAAGAAATCCAAATATATTTTACTATTGGATATAGTTCCATGTGACGACTGCCGATATAAATTTCATAATGGTAAATGGATGGTTGCTGGAAAAGCAGATCCAGAAATGCCTAAAAGAATGTACATCCATCCAGATTCACCCTGTACCGGCGAGCAATGGATGCAGAAACCAGTTTCCTTCCATAAACTCAAACTAACCAACAATATTTCAGATAAAAGTGGGGCGGTGAGTAACATTTTATTATTCATTTGTAATATTGTTTTAACTTTTGAATGATTCATCTTGGTAATTTTAATAATTGCTATATTGCTACGGGAAAAAGTTACATTGACAATAATGCTTTGTGAATCGTAATGTATAAAAACTAAACATCATCAAGCACTGCAGTATTGATAATTTCCTTCGGAACAAATGGAATAATCTAATTTTAGTATTACACAAAATGAGATTTTATCTAAACATGGAACGAAAATATAATTGTGATTTAATTAAGTATTAATAAGGTTAAAGTTAATCCCATCCTTTATCAGAGACATATGAGACTCCAAAATATTTTTGGGCCTTGGGCGTATTTAACTCAAATCCAGGTTTCAAGTTACTGAATTTCAAAGGACTTAGTTAGATCGAGGTACGAAAATTAACGCTCTAGACATAGGTAGCGTGGATTATCATAATGGGGCGACATGTTGGCGACGTGTAAAAGGTTAATTAAATGTAATTAAGAAAACGAAGTTACCAGCTAGCTGAGCAAGTAGCGTTTAGTGGACACACAAAGGGTTAATCTCATTATGGTCAATGTTAAGTAATGCTGATATAGATATTAAGCTGTAAATTGCTCATTGGGATATAGAGGGTTAAGGGTCTATGAGGTGCCAGGGTGTCTGGCGATGTTATTAAACTACGCCTAAATTAGCCACAATTATGAGTAGATCAGATAAAAATGCTAGAAACAAACAAATTTGGTCAGATTTTGTCGACGTAATCATGTATGTCCTATATATATCATGCTTAAACCCCTATGAATGATATGGAAATTCGATATCTCTGTTTATTTATGACAGTAATTTGTAAACATTGGAAAAGTCAACAAATTAGGTGTTTAAAATATTGACCAAGTATGAAATTATCATAAACTCGTTAGCGTTTACGTCATCTCATTTTAAGGAGTATAATACAAAATGTACTTCTCGAAATTTTTCGTTCTTTGCGTTTCGCTATCTGGAAGATTTTTTCATCAATGTATCTCGTAAACCGCAACACTGAATAGAAATTAGCTCAATTTCACACTTTGACTCAAAAATTTGCCCGAGGCTTGAATATGTGAATACCTTATTTTGATAAATCGCTTTGATCAGTATTTTGTGAAAATAATAGGCATATAGCTTTAAGGCAATAAGATAAAACACTGAATTGTATACAAACGTTTAGGATTTTCCTGTATTAACATTTAGAAGGGTAAGAATTCCCTGCTAACGACACCCACCACATTTTTATCTTGTATATTTCATATCACAATTTTCATACACCAGTCCTATTTTATTTTGGCTCTATCGATATTGTATGAATTATGATATACTCCCGCTACATATTTTTATTGTCGCTATTTTCATATGACACGGCGCCGTTTAGACTCTATTAACCCTAGGTCAAGATAGTAACCTTGGGTTTCAAATCTATTCAAAGTTTGTCGGAAATAAGTTGTTATTAATTTAAGGGCATATCGTATTCAATTTACTTATATTACGTCTGAGATATCCATGAGAAAATTCATAGTTGGTTCATGAATGAAGTGCCATATGAATAAAATTTTAGAACCTTTGTGAGAAATTGGAAATATTAGGACCAAATTTCAATAAAAAACTTTCAGCTTAAATTAAGTTTTGAAACCAACTGAGAAAATATAAATGAATATTTAATAAGTTATATTTATGTTATATTATTTTATATTTTCATGTAATATTGTTTTATATTTTCATGTTATATTTATATTTTTTTTATATATTTTTCAGGCTATATTGAATTCCATGCATAAATACCAACCACGAATTCACTTAGTAAGAGCTAGTGATCTCCTACGAATGGCATACAGTCCCAATAAAACATTTGTCTTCGAAGAAACACAATTTATTGCTGTTACTGCTTATCAAAATGAAAAGGTAAATATTTTGTATTGAAAATTTATATCACCGACGAGTTATCAACGTCCTAAACATGTGAGTTAATTCATACAGGAAAATATTAAAGAATTTCTTTTTTTTCGCATTTTTTTTTTACAAAATGTCAAGAGTTTATCTTTATGAAAAATTATTATGTTGTAAGTAAATAAAAAAATAAATAATAAATATTTTGTGTTTTTCAGATCACCCAATTGAAAATCGACCATAATCCATTTGCTAAAGGTTTCCGAGAAAATGGCGGAGGGCGTGGCAAAAAGTAAGTAGGGCACTTTAAGACATAACACTTAAATTTTAAAATGAATATTCATGTTGAATAATTAACGCATTAAAATTCAAATTTTAAAACCGCATGTCATCATAAAAGGTTTTACTTATGAACTTCTTTTTCTATTGTAGACGTTCGTTAACCACCGATGAAGTTAAAGTGCAAGTCACTACTGAAGAAATCCATTCAGCCAGCGAAGAAGATGACGAAAATGTCGAAATCTGTGTTGATGATGATGTGACACCTTCAGCCATCTCAAATTCTCATACAGAATCCGGTATCGAATCACCAAAATCAGAACCCGAAATTGAAAATCCTCCAAAAAGACAAAGAACAGAGTCGGACACAGAGCGTCCCCTTGCTGAATCCCCACACAACGATTCCGGTGTCCACAGTAATTCCGATAGTGAAGAAAAGGAAAACCATAAATTCATTTCCAAAGACATTAAAGAAGAACCAGTGAAAGAGAAATCCCTTCATGATCTCGCTTATTCCCAAAGAAAAGAAAAAAGTCCACCAAATGTCACAGTGTACCAGAAACCAGGTTACCCTATGTTCAGACCACAATCCATGTATCCAGCTAGCAATTCAGCTTTTCATCCCATCAACTCCTACCTTCTTAATTCAACATCCAGCCAACTGACTCATCCAATGATGTCCAATGTATCGTATGGTGGAGGAAGTTTCCCAACAACGTCATCACCGGCGCATGCAGCTTTTGCTCATGCTTCACTGTCTCATCAATTGGCTTTAGCTCAACATTACCAATTAGGAGCCAGTTTGGGAGCATCTCATTTAAGTTTAATGTCTCAAAGATCTCCTAATCAGCGATTTCATCCATACTCTGTGACACCAATTACACCACCATCCAGTATGATTTCTGGCAGTCCAACACCAGGAAGTCCCGGTTCCATTCCTGCATCATCACCAAGCTTGTCTCCCAAGAGTTCTCCAGGAATCATTAGTCCGATTCCTATCCGGGAAACTTTCACAGGGCCAGGTTTAACGAAAGACGGACGTATCTCTGCTTAATAAAAGGATGGAGAGTAGGAAGAGCTGCCGAAAAAATATCGACGGGTGAATGCCGCCACTCAATCCAAAGTTCACTTTGATCTCCAAATAGTGCTAATACTGAACCTAAGTGTTAACGGGCCTTGGTTTCATAAGGACCTTTATATATTGTGACCTGAACGTTATATATTATAATATATTCATTAAGGATATTGTGATGTGATAATTAAGCCCCTACTCAACTGTGATTCAGCTAAATGATGTAAGAGCCCCCTGGCGTCAATCGACAGAATAATTATAGGTAAGCGTTGTTACATTCTACAACTTCATTACTATTTTCATGGCGATTTCAAAACATATCACGTCGTTACACCAGACTATAGCAGAAAAGAAAGACGTATTTTCACTCAAATATAATACTCATTAATTTCAAAAGTAAGCTGCCAATTTAATTCATTTAATTTATTCTATAATATTTTATTACTTTATTCTTCCAGGTTTCCATCGAAGTAATTCTGAAATCGAAAGATGCTACCTCCAATGCTAGAGAATCTTACTAAAAACGTCATCAGTTATTGTGTACAAATAAATGTGTATCATCGACATCGTCATCTTTTTGTGTGTATCATTGTTAAGACATTGAATATGTTGCAATACAAAAGGCGACATAAGTGCAATAAAGCTATGTTATAAGTTATTAAGTTAAATGCTATGTATTATTACTGTTTATTAATGTATGAACATATATAAAATATGATGTTGAATAAATTATTGTTTGTTTATGAATACATTAGTGTTTTTTTTTATAAATTAAATTACATTGTAATGATAAGCTACTGTCTTGCACCAAATACGAACATAAGATCAACTGACATTTTCAATTTGAATGATTTCGGATGACTATTGGGCTCATGTCCTCTGGAGTTGTAGATCTTAAATAGGGATTATGTTTATAGGCGTTACATCATTGAAGTCGTTTTTAAAAGAAAGGGCAGAATTTTATATGAGATGTTCCGGAATCTATATACCACAGACTTTGATAAATCGAAGTATATCATCTTTGCAAAAAGATCATGTCAAAACATTACTTGAAATAAAAGGATACCACAAGTGTGCAACATACTAACTGCGTGAACTTGCTCACACACCAGTCAAATTGATAAAATTACCTCAATATGCGAAGTCAACGAATTACCTCCCTTACGTTCAACTCTTCATTAAGTCTTCTGCTGCATGGTTATTACCAGTCATGAGTATTGATGATACATATTCTGTTACATTATATACCTACAGTGGCAGTGAGGCCCAATTTTCAGGGTATATTTAGTTATTTGTTTAATATATAGTTCAATCGGGCCGTTTTTAAAAAATTTTAAGCAAATCAAATTTATAAAACAAAAACTACTCCCACACTAAAATCAATGAATAAACCAATCGGACCGGTTTTTAAAATTTAAGCAAATGAATGTTAAAAAAAAAACTACTCTCACACTCAAATCAATGGAAAGTCCAAAATCGACTTCACAGAGTTAAAAACTCATATAGTGTTGAAATAGAGATTTAGAACAATTTATGGCCTTTTCAAAGGGCGAATTTTGATTAAAAAAAAACTGAAGTATGTATCATCTTTGAATATAGACTATGTATTTCTGTTAAGTTAAGTATTAAGTTATTAGTATACGACTCCCAAACAACCCGGTAGACTTGAACCATCGAACGATGTCCATTTATCCTAAAAGGAGATATTCCTTCATTCAATGTATCATGTCATTAAGATTAATCGATTTCTAAGTTAGATTTCAGGGAATACTTCTTCAGGACTAGTGCCATGGCTATATACAGTATATTATATAACATACAGTGTATGTTTGTGTGTGTGTCTCTTCAACTAAAATCATACTAATGACTAACTAATTTTCACATAATTAATACGCTAATCTAATGCTCTGTGACCAAGGCCGGTGCTTTCGTTGAGACTTGTCAATTTCAACTATCATTCAGTTTTAGTCCGAACTTTATCCCGAAAGGAAATTTCCCATAAATGCCGCATTATCTCAAAGCATCTTTTAAAAACGTTCTCACAGTTTCGTGCTCTCTTATTGATAATTGTGAAAAAATGAAATGAAAAGCTTAAAAATGGACAGGAATTGTGTTGAAAAATAATAGGCCATACATACAAATAACAAAACTAGATTTTTACTCTTGACAATGAGCACTCGACAAAAGATTTATATAGGGACAATAGATTTCAGCACAGCAGTACGAGCTGGTCAAATTCACTGTAAAGCCATTGACAAGCCACGGTTCATTACAGAACAAGAACACAAGTCAATACATTCGTTTATCTCCTTCAAAATGACTGTTTTAAATCGCTCCCAAGGTCCAGTTAATTGCTTGAGAGTTCATGAATTTTGATCTAAAAACGCCTCTTTCTTTATTTGCACGATGTTCGCGAGTCATACGGTCCACTGAGTTTTAATTCACCACAACTAAATGAACGCCATGTTGAGAGGTTGTTTTGTGTCGTTTTCGTTGGCTTCCAGGGGAGTTATGTTTTGGGCACTTCTCGAAAGTAGGGGTCGAATAGGGACAGGGTCAGTGCAAGATCTTTGACTATCCATGCGATGGCGGTTTTCCTATTCTCCGCGTTATGCCCGATTATCACAGAAATATAGCGACCAATCCGGGTTGGTGCACAAGGTATTACAATCAACCTCTCGAGTTAAATTCGTCTATACATTTGCTTGACTAGTTGATAGAGTTCACTTTGTTATCTCTCCGTAAAAGTTTCAGAAATGAAATCTGACATACAGTTCTCTCACAATTCAATAAAAAGTACGTTCCTTATTGTTTTTTTTTTTATATTTATTGGGTATTTTCAATTGATTACGTAAAGGACATTTTTTACAAAGAGTCATGTAAAGGGTGCACGTGATCTATGACGCTGTGTATTACCGAAAGATTAAATAGCAAACTATACAAGTTTATGTATTTTTCGATAATCTAGCTCTTAACCCACAAGCAAAACGTCTCACGTGATGAAATTTGAATGAATGACTAGTGTAGTGTAACCCAATTTAAAATGATAAGTAGCGGGTTAAAATGATGGAAAGCGAAATGGAAAGTAGAAAACAAAGATAGATGGTTAGTGACAAGGGTTAACTTACTCAAGGTGTGTAGATATTGTACTTACTACCCTCAAAGCTATACTCAAATACTTATTTACTTAACCAACTAATTTTGAAATTTAACTGGCTACGTACTCGTCTTATACTTTGACTACAATAACCACCTCTCTTGTATCGCGGAAATTTTAAATGCAGGGATTTGATCTGATTATACGCTAGAGAATGCAGAGGCCTGGAAGTCTGAAAGTAATAGCTCTAAATTTTAGTCTTTCAGTCCAGGGCTCGGATTCGCTGGTATACGATAAAATCGCTGCATTCTGTGATAAAAACAGATGGCTATTGCAGTGAAGATATACGATATCGTAAAGAAGCGTACTCATCGGTATATCTAATTTTACAAAAAAAAAAAAAATACTGTGAATAAGCATATCAGCTTCAAAATAGTTCTGTAGGTTTTCATTTAATATGAACATACTTCCACGTGAAATTGCAACCAAATCAGCGGTATCGCATCACAATTTGCAAGTCCAAGTAACCCTTTTTGCGATTCAATATTTCCTTAGATTAGCCAAAATCACGACAACTGGCCAATCAATGTCAAATCATGAGCATTTATTCCAGATCTAGTATCATTAGGCATCGCTTAGTGGTATCTATAAACCATGAGGAACGATAGACAGAGAAAGCTGGTTCCATTGTGCCATATTTTAAAATGTTATTATTCAGTATTTATTATAAAATCATTTACGACGTCATTAGTGACAGCGATCGAGAGTCTACAATAGCAACGTTTTATATACAGTTTCTTAAAGGGAGGGAATTCTCTAACATCATATTTGACCACCGAGGCTACTTATGAATTTGTTTTAATTCAATTTTTTCTCGGATAATTCCAAATCGGTTTGATAAATGGATGACGGCTACCCATTATATGTCTTCGAAGTACTGTAATTCGAAGCGTTGCACGGAGTTACAATGCGTTCCTTCAATATATAAGAGAATGACTCTGTTTCTAATTGTTCCTTTGATCTACCATATTTCATCTGATATACTCCTTCAAATCCTCTCAAGACTCCAATCCCCTACCTCTACTCTCTATTCCCACTTCTTATCCTGCAGCTCCTTCACTCTGTTCTTCTGTGACTTACTATCTTTTTAACCTCTCTCTCTTCCTCTCTGTTAATACCTTTCTTCTTTTCCCCTGTCGCCTACCCACTCTGTTATCAGCTCTAATCCCCTGTCTCTTGCTTCATCTTCTGTACTTTCTCCTTTTGTTCATTCATCTCTCTTCCCTGTCCCTACTACGTCGTCACTTGTTCCTCTTTCACGATTTTCCGTTAGGTACTTTCTGTAAAGCAACATGATAACGATGGACCACTATAATATGTTACTTGCGAGGCAGAGTTTTACTCAAATTTTCATTGTCATAATAAAATATCAATTATTGGTCAGGCTTTCCTGTGAAAGAAATGTAACTTTTCAACGAGATTTCTGGAAATAACACGAAACAAAGATGCTATTTGAGTTAACTTATTGAGTCCTATATACGGATTTAGAAAAATTAAATAAATTTCAATTAATTATGTTTTGACGTCAGGTATCAACACGGCACGACTTTCGACACGCGTTAGCAATAACTTAGCCTTACCACGATAAAACAATTTCATTTCTAAATAAATATAGACTAAACAACTTATACATTTTATCACAAATATTTAGGCATCAACCACCTTGCGTTCATGACAGCTCCGTGTCAGAGAAAGTTTCGAATGTACATGCAGATATTCCAGTTCTAAAAGTGATATTATTGATGGCATAGCACCGTTTCACCGTCAATGCACCCAAAATAACTATATCGTAAAAGAGTAGGCTATGCCGCTGCCCTGGCAAAAA